ATTGTCAGTGAAGCCCTGGATAAAGAAGGATTAAAATATGATTTCGGTCACGGTGTGGCAAGGAAATGAGCGTACTTTGACCCTAAATTGTCTGCACTGTTCTAACATCTGATGAAACTGTAAATTGATCAAAATGAACGATGAAAATGTCTTAAATTTCTCTCCCAAAGTCACGGAGTAGCATGAATAGCAAATACCAAACTTGGAAAATTCGCCATAAATTTTGCTCAAACTGTCACATGGTCGGAATCTTCAAAATGGATGGAGACAGATCATTAAGCTACTTAGCTATCGTTCTGTGAATGAAAAGTCCAAGACACTAAAATAATGTTTTTTTTATTTGTTTCCCTCTCAATTTAAAATCTCTAAAATACAAAGCCAAGAGTTTAGTTTAAAAATGCGCAGAAACACTTTTTTTTCACTTTTTATTGCCTAACCTCTTTCGTGTTAAAAGAAATTGAGACAGTTTAAGTAATCTTTCATAAATCTTGATTGTCATGTTTATTGGATTTAACCTGTCGGTCGGACCGCCTTTGTGAATTGAGATGCTGCCAGAATAAAGTCTTTGAATAACTGATCAATTACTTAAACGGGTTACTGCCACCTTCAAGTCGCTTCAAGGTAAAATTTTTTCTCACAGCATCAACACAATATCAAGCAGTCGAATGTTGACAATATCGAGAAATATTAATAAGGGAATTATTTATTGCAGGATCCAATACAAAATTTCCCAAAATAGCACCATAAAAATAGAATGGCAGCTAGTAAGGAGAATTTCTTATGAGATCTTGAGAGTAAAAAGCCGGTGAAGGGGTTATCACGGCTATCACTGCACTAAAGAATCTATCGAGCATTAGAAAGTGGACCGTGAGCAACTCCCATCTTCCGTCATTAGGATTTTGAGTCCTTAACGCGGGAATAATACAAGATTAGCTTAGGCAGGAGCGGGATGAGGAGGATAGAATGGGATAAAGTTAAGTGACGCCTTCGCTAAGTGCGGTCCTCTCGACTTCCCGTCGGAAAAAAGATTTCTTTTACTTTTTGCCCATGAAAAGGATTTAGGACACATGTCTCAAAAATAGTTTAGTTGTTCTCCAATTCTCTGTTTTTGCGTCGCCACAAGCCAAAAATCATTTTTGGCCAGACCACTCATGTGGACAGCGATCGAAAGTGTAAATTTCAAAGATTCTATCCAGCGCGCAGCGACTGCAACAATGTAGCTCACGGAATTCTTTCTTGCTACAAGTTACAAGATGTATTCACTTAGTTCACAGACAAATATGGAAACTTCAGCTGAAATATTACAGTCCAGTTGATTTCGATGGTCGCAGGGAAATGTCGACTTGTCGCTCAAACCGTTGTGGTCCATAAGAGCGTAACATCATTAATGACAGAAACCAGAAATCAGTAATAGACACAGTCATTAGTGGAAAAAGAACTCCGAGTCGGATTTTCAGATTTTCTGGAGACTCGTGACAGGCTTAGTTGTTTAAAGGGCATGTAAATCCAAAAAACATTCATTTTATTTTCACATAGATTTTTATTAAATATATCAAGTACACTAAAAGGTACCATTGGTTTTTTTTTTTCAAAAGTCCATTTTCAATTTGTAAAAGCTCTTCCAAATTCGAGACATTCGCCATCTTGAATGGCACTATCTTTCCTGTGACGTCACGGGTGGAACCTCCAAAGTCTCGTTTTATAATCGCGTGAGACACGAAGGAGTCTTTTCCACAGCCGTTGTTTGCCGGTCTCGTCATGATTTTCTTACTTACGGTTTGCTTCAGTACATTCAATTTTTTCATAATGGTAAAGTTTTGTGTCGTCCAGTTTTGTACTGATTGAAACAAAACTGGGCATACAATGCAAATATTTCAAAATGACGCTAATTTGAAGCGACAATTTGTGAAATTTGTTCAAGTCAAAATAGCCGATTTCGTCGAGCCGTTCGAACATTCTGTTGTTTGTAGCAGTCATTTTTTTTTCTGGTGCTGCACCGACGATTCAGACCCTACCAGAAGCAAATAAGAAGTATAAAAACGACCCATAGTTGGTAGATGACGAGGATTCGGAAGTGGCCGACCGAACTGAGAAAGAAGTTGAGCTCTTCAAA